TGACGTTGGCATATCAACCTGCAGCAGCTCAGAGGGGAGGGAATCAGGTGGGAAAAGCCCATCCCCAGGCTCTCCAGGAAAGAAATAATCCAAATTTATTATGGTGTCATCCCTCTGGGCTGGATTTCTCTGCCAGTGCCCATTAACTGGTGGCCAGGTGGTTCATGCAGGGGTTTGGAACACTGCTCACTCTCAAAATAATGTTAAATTTGGGGTTTTGTGCCCTCTCTTATTCATAAATCAGAACAATCAGCAAATGTCACTTCAGAGACCCAGGCTTGGAATATTTCCTTAAAATCCAGTGGTTTTGTGGTCTGTTTTCCATCTCTCTGCCACTCTGCAGAAAATTCAGCCTTTCCCCCCAAACTCCAGTCTGGTTTCCCATCTCTCCAGTCAGCTGGAGCAGCGGGAAGTGATGGCATCTCAAAAAGGAGCAGCCCAAAATAATTCTGGTTTTCCCATTTCTGTGGCTTATTTAGACTCCAAAGCTGGTCCTCTGTTCCTTTTTGGGAATCCTTTTTGATGATCCTTTTTGGGGAGTCCATATTGCATTGTGGTGCATGAATTTAATGGGATATTCCTTAGGCTGATCAGTTGGATTAAAAATGAAATTACTAGCTTGGAACTGTCTCCTAACCTGTCATGGGAACAGAGCAAAACCTTCAGCTTCCTTAAAAAATCAGTTTTTGACAGAGAAGGCAAAGGAAGGTTTCTTTTGGAAAAAGTAATTTTAAAAGGAATTTTAAAAGGACTTTCCCAGTGAAGCCAACAAAACCTGAGTGATTTAAGGGTGATAGAGAAGGCAAAGGGTTTTCTTTTGGAAAAAGTAATTTTAAAAGGAATTTTAAAAGGACTTCCCCAGTGAAGCCAACAAAACCTGAGTGATTTAAGGGTGATAGAGAAGGCAAAGTGGTTTCTTTTGGAAAAAGTAATTTTAAAAGGAAATCCCCAGTAAAGACAACAAAACCTCAGGGATTTATGAGTGACAGAGAAGGCAAAGGGGTTTCTTTCAGAAAAAGCAATTTTAAGAGGACTTTCCCACTGAAGCCAACAAAACCTCAGGTATTTGCAGGTGAAAGAGAAGGCAAGGTGGTTTCTTTTGGAAAAGGCACACAATAAAGCAGAGACAATTTGCTTGAGCCAAACCCCAAATTGCTGCTCTTTCCTGCTCCCCTCTCTCCCGTCGGGCTGGATTTGTGGCCGGAGCTGGATTGCAGCCGCCGCTTTCGCTCGGGGCCGTGTCCGTGTGTCCCCACGCGTGGCACGTCCCTCCCCACGGGCGCGCGGGGCCCTCCGCGGAGCCCAGCTCATCCTTCCCCTCTCCTTTTTTGGGCCATCAGGGAGCAAAAGCAGCGGCTCCAACCGGAGCACCAGCGAGACCAGCAGGAGAGGAGCGGGCAGGGAGAAGGAGCGCAAGTCCGGGGGCAGCGGCAGCGAGTCGGAGCCGGGCGCGCGCCGCGAGCGGCCGCTCAGCCAGCTCAGCCAGCGCTCCGCCAGCGACGGGAGCCACCAGAGCCACCACTCCTACGGGCCCCCGGGGCTGCCCCCCTTGTACAGCCTCCCCAAGCTGGGCTCCAAGGGGCTGGGCAGCAGCGGCCCGCCCGGAGCGCCGCCGGTGCGCGAGCTGAGCGCCGTGCCGCCCGAGCTCACCGGGAGCCGCCAGTCCTTCCAGAAGGCCATGGGCAACCCTTGCGAGTTCTTCGTGGACATCATGTGAGAGGAAGTGCCTTCAAAAGACTCTTGGTTTTATTTTGGTTTTTTTTTTTGGTTTTTAGCGGGTGGGTTGTGGGGCGCTCCGTTGGAAGAGGCTTGGCTGTCTTGCATGTCACACCGTTCTGTTCGCCAGCGCGTCGCACGAAACAGCAAAAAAAATCGACAAAACTCAACAGAAAAAGGAGAAAAAATAAATACAAACCCCGCCCCCCTGGCCTACAAAAATGAACAACAAAATCTCCTGGGATTGTTAAATATCAGCAACTCGGCATCTTTTCGTTATGTTTATTTTTTCCTCCCCTCCCCATCTCATTTTGGATCGTGAATGGCTGGTGTATATTCACATCTTGATGAGCTTTGGTTATTGTGGCACCTACTTCAGTGGAATTAGTGTCTCTTGCTGGGCTGAATGCAGGACTGGTATTTCACATGACTTTTAAATTCCTGACAATGCATAGGAGCACTTTGATTTTTTTTTTCCCCTGCTTTTTCTCTTGCAAGGACAAAAGGACTGCTGGCTGGTATCTGGGATACTGCCTTGGAATGCTGATTCTTGGATGCATCCACAGCTCTAAGCAGACGTGGCACCCTCAAGTGCTTGGAAAGGAGCAGGATCCAACCAATTCCTAGAGGAAAACAAAGTTGTGGCTACTTTCTGCTGACTAGGCAGTATAAATCAATCTTTTTTGGATTCTTTAAGGGGCTTTTTTTTTTGAGATATTCTATCAAGGGAGTGCTGGAGTCTTGCTACTGTATGTGTTCATTGTGCAGAACTTGTAAAGTTGTTTCCTTCAGTTATTTCCTTATTTCCCAAGAGTGATTTTCCAGCTGCGCTCGGTTCCTGGGCATTTCAGTCACATCCCTGTTGCCAGGTGTGGCTGTTCCCTCTGATGTGCACTTGCTTGCAGGTTGGAAGAGTTATTCCCACAGAAATAGGAGAATGGCTGCAGTTCTGTCAGCTCTGCCCCTTTTGAAGGGGCTCTTTATCCCATTCCAGCAGAGAAATTCTGGCTCCCACGGGGACGTGGCTCTTCTCTGTGATCCCTCCTTCCTTTCTGAGCACAAGCTTTCTCTTTTTGTTGAAACAGAGACCTGGAGGTGTCTGATCCCCCAGGGAACATTTCTGAGCACAGTGGGAGAAAGGTGTGAGGGTACCAGAAATGGTGCAAAAATAAATCCTTACCCTGAC